GGTCCCTTCCAACTCCTAACGTTCTGTGATTGTGATATTTTTCAACTTTTCCAAACTGCAATCTGTTAATAACTCAGAGTAGAGCAGTATTTCTGTTACTATGAGATCTTCATTACAGTAGTCAACCTTTAGGTAAACCTTGCAGTTTAATGGAATTCTGTAGGAAGGGGTGCACTTATGGCAAGTCTTGCATCCCTGAAATGCATAAGGATAATAAAGGTCTCCCCATTCTCTTTAATTTTGAGAATAAAATTCTATTCTGAAGCAACTGCGTAGTTATTTCTTTTGCTCTTGATTCATGTGTGATGAAAGGTAGCTGCACAGGCTTCTCTGAGGTTTTCTAAAATAAATGGAAGAACCAACTATTTCAGAAATTGTAGGAGTTTTCCCTAAATAGTTTTGGCAGTTGTGTGTAAGAAACTGATGTAGCAGTAGTCTACTTAGGCTTTTTGTTTATGTGGATATTACATTATATTTGCTTGAAGGAGGATTTAATTTTAAGAGCAAGCTTAATGACTTGATAGTGATTCTCTGAATTAGTGTTCATTCTAGAAAAATGTGAGATTTTTTTCTCATTATGGATTCTGCTTAATTACATTCTGTCAGGTAATCAAGATTTGGCAGGAAAGCTTTTTTTGGTACTGGTAATAACTAGCAATTCCACCTTTTAAGGGTGTAGTTGTACCTTTTTATTCAAAAGTGCAAAGTGGAGTGGAGGGCGGAATAATAATTTTAAAAGTCTGTTCACAGGAGACTGCTCTTTATTTTGGGTTTCTGCAGTTTCTTGGTAATAGTGTTCTCAGTTAAACAATGAAATTTAAAATCTGAATAATCTAGCATTAAGAAAGAAGTCTCTTAGCTTATTCTCACTGAAGGCTTAAGTAGCTTCTTAAGTCTGTTTCTTCCCCTTGCCCTAAAGAAATAAAATTGCTGTCATAGCATAGTCTGGTTTTGTGAATACACTTTGCAATGTTGGTAGCTTCTTCTGGACACTTAAAAATTCTATCTTATGCAAGTAATTTATTTTTACGTTGTGTAGTACATGCTGCAAAGAACCCAGGACCAAGATGAAAATGTGGCTTTGGAGGCTTGTGAGTTTTGGCTGACTTTGGCTGAACAGCCGATTTGTAAAGATGTTTTATGTCGGCATCTTACTAAGTAAGTATTAAGAATTACCACTCCTATTTATTTTGAAATAGTCATCTTTAAACTTCAGTTGGCTTGTTCCTGATTGCTCTTACGGAGACTGTATCTAGCTTGCTGAATGCTAGATGGATGCGAAGATGCACTAACTTGCAGTTAACCTCAAAAAGATACTGCCACGTGACGTTACCTGTAGTGTCTGTTGTACCATGAATGTGTTGTCTTGATTACTGCTGATTTAGGCTTCTCTGTGCCACATTTATATGTGCATAGTCATGCAAAGGGTTCCCCATTTTATAAAGAACATGACATCACTTGGATTTAGGAATCAATTTTATATCAATTGCTATTGCAATTTAAACTTGAAGAAAGCATGTAAAATATTTTCCTTCATACTTCTGAAGCCCAATAGTAATTTAGGTTTCAAAAACTATTTTTTGAAAGTTATTCTGTGCCTCAAGATGTAAATCACTGATTGAAAGGGAATGAATATCCACGTTTGAAATCTGCATGTCAGTAGCAGTGCTTGTAACTTTTTTCCAGACCAATCTGAAGTCTTCTGCAATAGGAAATGAATTCTTCGGTGTTCCCAGTAAATGGATACTCTTTTGTTTTTATATGTGCATGGAAGGTTTTTGAAATTACTAGGGCAGTTCTCAAGATCTTGAGTGGAAGAACAGAATCACAGACAGAAGCAGCACATTCTTCACAGCTAAAACAAAGCATTATAGATGTGAAGCAACTGAAAAAATTAGAAAAATTTTGACTTTCATAAGCAATTAGGAAGTAGAGACTTGAGATTAAAAAACCTACTGTAGGGGTGGAGGAATAGGAATTGAAAATGGGAGAACCACTGTTACAAAAAAAAAAAATTAAGTTTCAAAATGGATT